GCAAAGTGTTAAAGAGGATTGTATTACACTGTTGTACATGTAAATTTAATTTCTTTTCACGTTCTTATTGAAAGGCTGATAGTTGCTCAGTTTGTCGAGGAATTTGACTCATTTTATGGAACCTGGAGGTTTATACCATGCTCACAGGAGCCCATATCTGTTTTTATTTTATTGCTAATGGGGTGGGACTAAGTCCCTTGTACTGCGGCCACTTCTGGCCTATTGTACCAGCCCCAGATGATAGATAGGTGAGGGTGATTGTGGAGCAATTGGTGGAATGAAGATTGGCAGGGGAAACTGAAGTACTCAGAGAAAACCTGCTCCAGCGCCACTTTGTCCACCACAAATCTCACTTGACCAGACCCAGGGTCGAACCCGGGCCGCCGCGGTGGGAAGTCAGCGACTAACCTCTTGAGCTATGGCGAGGCCCCATATCTACCTTACTCTGAGGCAGTTGAATGCATCCAAGAACCTGACACTCTGTGTTACTAAGATCAATTTTAGTATTGTCTTCTTGTGTAGGCTGAGGTCTTCAAGGGGTACCTTCCCTTTTTTTCTGTTGTTACATTTTCAGTCCATGTTTGTTTACAGATATGGCATTACCCCACTGTTGGATGCAATTCATTTTGACAATCATGATATAATAAAATTGCTGATGAAATGTGGCGCCCATCTTCCTTTGGCTCACTCAAGAAATGTTGGAGAAGAACTCTGCAGGTAATGGGATATTTTGCCTTTACACAGTCTTTCAAGTTGGTGTGTTGTGGTGCATGTGTTGTTATTTCTGGAAACCAAAAGCAGGGGAGCGCCTTTTTTTTTATATTTTGTGATATTTACAGAATTAATGGCTGTTCAGTGACATTATTCTGTCATGTAAAGGAACTAGAAGAATCGTTGAAATTCCAAAAGACGGGAATAGCCATTATATACCTGTAAAATATAACCAAGAAATAAGAATTTAATTTATACTGGGATTTGAGTTTACTCTGAGCTGCTAATATGAATAATTATTAAATATAATTAGCAGTTCTCTTTAATTAAAAATATTCATTGCAGAGTGTTTTTGTTTATTTTATTTTCTCCATTTTATATGTATTCATTCATTTCTTTATTTTCCATATATCCATACAGGTAACAAACCTAGGATGTGGAACTGGTCCCTTTGAAAATAGATATATCAAGATACATATACAAAATTACATAAGTCACATAATCAAAATCACTTAATCGATTAACATAATAATATCAAGTAAAAAATGTATTAAGATTTTAATTAATAAACATAATTTAAAAACAACTTACTAGGTATAAAACTTGAATTCATACAATTTTGTTTAAATTACCTATATTAACTGAATTAAATACATTACAAATTTACACACTTATGACCAATTATATTGGTAATATTCATTCATGGAATAAAAGAATGATGATATAAAAACTTCTTCAGTGCAGATTTAAAACTTCTCTCATGGGTAGCCAACATTTTTATTGTTTGAGGAAGATGATTAAAATCTTTAATACCTGATATGCATGCACCTTTATTGTATTTTGTTAGGATAACTGCAGGTAATATAAATTATTGAGTGCTCTAGTTTTGTATTTGTGAATCTCATTGTATGCTTGTGTATCTCTGTTTGTGTCTTTGTGTTCACAGTTTCATGCATTCGTCTTTTTGTTACCTAATTAGAATGCAAATTTGAGCAGCTTCAGAATGCATGTGTCTCATTTATAATTAATTAATATTTAATAAGTTAATTGGTTTCTAGCCACAATCACAGATATAAGATTTGTTCTTTATTCTTTTGATTTCAGTGCAGCTGCTAAAGGCTCCCTGAAGAGACTGCAGTCATTCCAGTTTGCTGGAGCTGACTTAAGTCAGCCTGATTTCAGTGGCAACACTGCTCTCCACATTGTAAGTATCTTAGCCCCCCTCCCCCAAAAAATAATTGCCTTTTGTCTTGTATTGGTGTGGAACTTGGTATCTTGCTTTGAAGAAAGATCACACACTGAGAGCATTTTATAACAGGATGCTGAAAGGATTATTTATTATAAGAGAAAGGAAATTTGAGTAACAGGAAGCTGGAGAGAAGTGTATAATGAGGACTTCATAATGTGTACCCTTCACCAAATAGTATTGGGTGATCAAATCAAGGGTAATGTAATGGGTGGGGTATGTAGCAAGTGAAAATTTTAGTTGGAAAATGTGAATGGAAAAGATTACTTGGCAGACATACATGTGATAGGAGAACATTATTGAAAGTAATTTTAGAAATAGGATGTGAGGGCATGGACTGCCTCATAATAGGAAAGATTGGCCAGCTCTTGTGAAGAAATTAATGAACATTTGTTGTAATTGAGGTTCTCAGAACAATGACTATGAAAAGTACGGTGTTCTGCGATGTGACACCGAAATGTTTTGTACATTTCAGTGATGTTTTGGAGGAACATATTTGCTCCATCACCATGGTCGAATAGTAGGTGAAGCAATACACCAGAAAAAAGGCAGAGCATTCTGCATCCTGCCTTTTTTCTTGCTGTTTACTTCGTTGGCTTATTGACCCTGCAGAT